TACTCTCAAAGAAAATACGCTTCAAATGACGCAAATTAACATTTTACAAAATTAGAAATGATATTAATAATAATAATTGTTATGATTAGTTATTATTTTTACCCAAAAGGTGTATCTATCGAACCAAATCTAAATTCTGACGCAGTAGGCAATAAATCACCTTCTACTATAGATTCACCTAAACATATAATAGTTATAATTATAATAAAGTTAGAATCAAAAACTGTTAATCACTCATCATCCTATAATATAATATTACCTATTCCAATATCATCTTTCATTTCACTATTTGAGGATACAAAACGATATCCAATTTTCAAAGAATTATTTAATTTCAATTTTTTTATTTTTCTAAAAAGTTTATAAACCGGTAATAATCTAACGTATGCATATAATGATCTGAAAAATGTAATTGATTTTTTATAAACAACAGGAAGCTCCGGTGGAGGATCTGATGGAAGTTGTCTATATATATATTTATTAATATTTTATATAATTAATTAAATTAATTAATAAATTAAATAAAAAATATAGGATAAATTTTTATTAAAATTAATATTTTTTTTTCTCTTTCTCTCTTACTTTAATGATAATTGCCATCTTTCTAGTATAATATTTTTTGTTATTTTATTGTCAGTTTCATTTGAATTATTGCTAAGAATATTCATTCTAACTTTACGTTTTACATTTTCTGTGGTAAGTGCTAGTACTTGATCCTTTGTTAAAGACGAAGTGTCCAAAAAAAATTCTATTATCATAGGATCCACTAATGATCCGGAAGACGATATAGCAGTATGTCGCCAATATTTAACATCTTCTTTATAAATATCCGAATCCAATAATTCTAAATTGAACTTTAGTCGTTATAAAAAAAAAAAAAGGACATATATGCCGAGTATAAGTACGAGTATAAATATGAGTATATATTTTTTGAAAAAAAAAAATTTTATTACCCATTTATTGGTTTTTCTTGTTTGTTGAGCATGACGTGGATGTAAACCCAAATTTAGAGCGTTAAGTCCTTTTCCACTCGATTGACTATCATATTCAGTTAAACGAGCTTGAGTGAGAATTTGAGCGACTTTAGTATAGAAATTCTTTAAAGAAAAAAATTAATTAGTAGAAGAATAAAATTATTTTAAAAAAAAAATCACCAGTAATAATACTATTGTTTATTATTTAAAAGTCAATATTTTAAACTACTAGCTTTTTAAAAAAGTACCTGAACGATCTGTTCAGTTTTTGTGATTTGTCGAGACACTGTTGTTTGATTTGATTGATTTGAAGGGTTATTAAAATTCAAGGTAGGAGGTGAGGAAGAGTACTGTGAAGAAGAAGACGAGGGAGTTCTATGCATGTCATGCATGCGGCATCAAGTTGCTACCTTTTAGATATATATATATTATATATATATTTTGAAATACAAGATACTCTCTCAAAGTTAGAAAGAGCAGCAGTTAGTTTTATGTTACTCAAAATATATATTGATTTAATAAAAGATGTGTTTAAAACTCGTGATCCTTTTAAGATAACCTCAAAAATAGCAGTTCATGCGGGACAATTTCCGAAAGGTTATTATCAATTGATTTTTCTATATGTGAAAATAAACTCGAAATTCGTGTCATATGAAGTTTTTTTTAATAAACTCGAACTTTGTTGTTAAAAATGAAAGTACTTCATTAAAACTTTCTAATGAATACTCTTTCATATCAAAAGGTCTTCTCTACATGAATTCACAGCTATTCAAAAACTGTATTACTTTTTCACTTCAAAGCTCAGATTATTTCTCAATATTGCTTTAAAAGACTTGATAGTAAACGAGAAGATGTAGGATACTTTAAGCTTTCATATGGTCATTACTTTATTGGGGTATTGGTTAATAAGTTTTAGAGAGGTTCATGAAAAACTATCTTATAGAAATTTAATAGTCATGAAGAATTTTTGTAGATAGGATTCAGCAAAAACTAAAAGGTATTTTATTAGATTGTTTTATATTTCTGACTTTGTATTGATTGAAGTTTCATTAATGACTATTATGAATCAGTAGTTGTTATAGCAACGTTAAACAATAATATTAGTACAGTCAACCCTCCATAAGTGCACCCCCCTTGGGAATGGACAAGAGCGTGCATTTATGGAGGGATGCATTTAGGGAGGGTAAGAATCTTATTGGCTGCATGTGACCATTTGGGATATTGTGTTAAAAAAAATTTTTATTTATTATTATATTATAAAAATTGATCCATTGTAGTTTGTTTCATTGAATTTGTTTTTTTATAATTAATATATCGATCAAGAGCTTTAACTTGTTTTAATTGTTCTTTAGTATTTCCTTGTTGTAGTAAAAAGGCATAGACAATTTCCAAACTTTTGGAAGCTCCATCAGCATTTATTATTACCAGTTTAATGCTATCATCATCTTCATTATTGTAATAATAATGGTAGAAGATTTTTTATTTATTAAAGCTTGTGTAAATGTATTTGTTTTTAAAATTCTTTGTCCTTGTCTTGCCTTCTTATATATAATAATTTTGCCTATAAAAGTTTCACCATCTGCATTCTAATTCTGTCAATTAAAAAGAAAGAATTAGTAAACATTCATTTAATTCTTTATAATTAACAATTATTTAATTGACTATTAAAAAAAAAGCATATTACTCTTTATCCTCTGTGTGATTCTTAACAATTCTGCCTATAAGTTTTATTATCTACATAATAACTCTTTGTAGATTAAAAAGAAAGAATTAGTAAATTATGTATATAGGTGAAAAATAATTAATCAATGTGACACGAATTTGTTTCTTGTTGCACATTGGTCACGTGAAAGTCACGGGCATGCATTTAGAGAGGGTGGTTTTATATGAATGGGATTGGGAAAAGACCATGCAGTGCATTTATAGAGGGATGCATTTATCTCTTAAGTCCCAAGGTTCGGAATGAGACATAGCGTGCACTTATGGAGAGTGTGCACTTATGGAGGGTTGACTGTATATGTTACTAAAAATAGTAAAGATTGTCTATCAAAAAAATCACATGTTTCGACTTATTGAGAGTAATTTATTATACCTGGCTGGTGAAGTTGTCTGACTTACAGCTTAACAAGGTTTATATATGTTGTCCAACTTATCAAGAGATTTTAATTATTGAAAAAAAGGGCTGAAAAATTTTGTCCGAGTTAAGCCAAATCTGACTTATCGAGTTTACCTATGTATAAATATTCATAAGACATTAACACCACAATTACATTATGATGCACAAGAAAATACCATTTTGGTTTATTTTGATCTAGCTATGGGAAAGCAAAGAATGGGTGGATCTGCTATTGCACAAGTGTATCAACAAATTGGAGCTGAAAGCTCCAGATGTTGTAAGTACACAAATCATAAAATCATTTTTTGAAGGTACGGTGCAGATCATCTATAATCATTAATTGCTTATAGTAACAATTGGTCAACTTCAAAATACTAAAACAAAAAAA